TCTTGATTTTTTTTTTAAATTAAGTGAGTCTCAAGTGATCTTTAAGGTCCCTTTAGTTCTAGTAGAGCCCGTAGGATGATGACAGGGAAATGGAGCTGCCTTAGACCTCCTCTTCCCATTAGCTGCTATGGACAGGCAGGCAGGACTATGGACTTATTTTTTTTCCTGGACTTCTCCACATCCCCCTGTCCTCACTTTCCAAAATGTAAATGGACTCGAGGAGGGTTCTTGCTTTGGCTGCTGCCTGTCAATCCACCCCTTTGCTGTGTTAGAGTTCGTGGAAATTGGCTGGCAGTTGTTTGGAAGCAAATCAGGACCTAGTATTGGTGCTGGGGAGAAGCTTCAACATCAATATGTGTAGAGTAGGTGAGAAATACCCAATAACCAACTGCACATTTTAGAAGTTTTGCTGAGCTCATTCCTTTGCTGGGTCTACCTAGGATACAATCTAAAGCCCTTTTTCTTTGCCCTTAACAAACATAGACTCTATAACCATACCAGCTCTTAGCTTGGCTTCTTCCAATCACTAATTATGTTGAACCTGATCCATACAGGTTGTAATAGTTGCCTGTGTGTCTGGTGCTTACTGTCTGCTCCTTACCTCTAGCATGTTCAAGCCTCATGACTTGAACAGCAGCTCACACCTGGCTCCCCAAACCATTGAAAAAGAGTCAATTTCCTTACTCATGGCCTATAAGCAAGTAGACAAGGTTCCTCACCCTACAGCATCATTTTAGGTTCTCTTTCTATCCTCTCAGCCAACGTGGCGACAGTCATCTTCTCTGTAGCATAATGACTCATACAAGACTCTTGTCCATACCCAACAGAGCTTGTGCACATTTTCTGAAATGGTTTAAATTAGGGGGTTATACAAGTCATTACCCCAAGTCATCAAAACACCAATTAACTCAATAACCGTGACATTAAGCCAGCTGTTTCCCTGGGGAATATAAAATTGGAAGCCAGTGCTGCAGTGTGCTAGCTCAGCTAGAGCTTCCAAGAAGTAAAATTAAATATTGCAAGTGTAAATATTATAGTTCAGAGGGGCAATGGACTACCTCTCCTTTGGGGGGAAGTGCTCATGGCTACAAAGAGAAATGTACAAAAGGAAAGAAAGACAAGGAAGTATCCAGGACTGGGGGAACATCTTTACAAAGGAATAGCTATACTTACCATATTGAGAAACAGTTCTGGTTAAATTTATCCTTTGACAACAATAATATAGAAAATAAGATAATCTTGATAGATATTGACTTGGTGTGGTTGTATTCCTTTAAAAATATACTTGAAGAGTAAACCATATTTTTCATAGAAATGAATTAATTTGATAAAGGAACTGTAGAAGACTTTTTTATTGTGTTATATTTAATTTTTTACTTTATTTTAATTTTTTATTTAAATTATTTTTGTACCTGTATATGATTTAGAGGGATGGACTCACACCTTCTCAGTGCTATGCTACCACACACCCCCTCCCACCACTGGGGCACCCATAATTTTACTTACAAAAAGTATTTTTATACTTCTGTGACTTGTTTGATTATTTAGTGAAAACCTAGGTTTTTCTTCAATATAGAAGTTCTTAAGTTCAGTTAATATAAAAATCAAACTAGGATTTTCCAAACAAATGGAGGTTATGCAAATACTACAACCCAAGACTTTGGGAATTATTTTCTGACAAAAATTAATCTGTGGACTTAAATTACTTGAAAAAATATAGAAAAGTGTCTTATAAAATATATGTACACATTCATATTGTAATCATACCTTGAGGATTTTAATATTTTACTTTTTTTTACATAATTTAGATCATATCATATGTAATTTTATCCTATATATAAAATTTCATTAGTGGTGTCTCATTCTTGAAATTTTTCTTTGAAAATGTTTTAGCACAAATGTGTCAAGGTATTTCATTGTACACCATTGGATATTGCCAATAACTAAAGTTGCAGCGAACATTTCAGTATATTAATCTTGGATTCTCTGCCTGTTTCTTTAGGATATATTCTTTGAAAGAGAATCAATTTGTTTAGGCATCTACATATTGCCAAATTCATTTTGAGGCAGATGATACTAATTTTCACTCATTAAAGTTTAGGTGAGCTCTCTATTTTTTGTACCCTCAATGCAACTGAATATTATATTTTTGATCAAATTGCTCTCAACTTTGGCTTCACATGGGAGTCAGCGCAGGAGCTTTATATAAACAAACCAATCAAACCTATGCCTCAGCTCTGTCCCAAATTAATTAAACCAGAATTTCTGTGGAGTTGTGAGGCCAGGGCTTCTTTTAAGTTTAAAAGTTTACTTTAACCTTTTCTAATTTAGTAGATGAAAAACACTTCAAAACCCTTTGTTATCAAAGCACATAGGAATCTAAATAATATATGATTGCCTCACTAGCTAAAAAAAATACTGTAAAATTATGATTCTGACCAAAATATTTTGGCTCAAGTTGATTTTCATGTTCCTGGGGGGGGGGAAAGACCATTCCTGCACCAAAATAATATTTCTCCTTCACAGCCCTGTGATCTCACCAATTTTTAGAAAAGTTTTGCAGTACCTTTATTACATTTCCCCTTTCATCTCTAATTTTATATTTATATGCATCTTTAAGAAGTAGTAAATTTAAATTATCTAGCTTTTCTCATCACTGTTCAATTATTTACCAAATATTTCATTTATTTTGGCATTTTTAACACCAGGCCATACGTGGTCAATGCAAGTGTTTTTTCTGTATCTTACTGTAACACTATTTCTCCATCTTCTTTTTGTTTGCTAGATAAATATACTACAGCAGACTATAAGGAAGCCTGATAAAAATACTAAAGGAGCCCTATAAATAGACCTGTCAACTTTTGTGATGTTCCAGACAGGTTCTGGGTCCTGCTTTGATTGTTGATCCTGGCAGGCTTTTTTCATGCACCCTGTTACAGTAAGCTGAAGTAGTATATTCTACCCTTCAGTGAAATATTAAATATTTTCCAATGTGTGGGAAGTATATGAAGGGGCTGTTTCCTTCTCACTTCTAGTAATCTTACCTCAAAATCTGAAGTCAGATATTTCGGTGATCTCCTGTAAGGGTATTTCCTTATTTTTCTCTTGTCCCCGGGCCCCACACCTCACTGTTTCCTAAGAAGGTGGAGACCTCCCTTTCTTACATGCCAAATACTTCCCTATAGTCTCTAGTAGCCAGCAGTGGCCATAAGACACAGTTTTGTCCAGTCGCAGGTAAACAAAGTTGTGCTGATGCCTCTGGGGGACAGTTTCATTTTCTGAATAAAGGTACATCAGTACTGGAGCCCTTTCTCGTACATGTAGCATAGATTTCAGAGGGGATGCCTGGATTTTGTTGACTGTGTTGTAACCATTAGGTAACAGCCCTAAGAGATAGACCAAGAGAAGAGTAGTGACACAGGTTGTACTCTCTTTGAACCGCTAAACTTAGGCTAACTATTGCCTGACTCCACGCTTCTTTCAGGAGAAAAAACAGACATTGTGAATTTGGATGGATTATTTTGTTACAGTCAGCTGAAAGCAATCCCGCTCACCCAAATATTAGTCAATATCACACTTAGCTATTGATTGTAGCTGGGTGTTTGCTATTTCTTCCATAGAAAAGCCAAATCACAAAGGCCAATGGGACATGGCCCAGATCTTGTTATCTCTCTCCCTTTTTTCTCTTCTCTTTTGGTCAGTGGTCAGGACTCGTAGGAACTTGTGCTCAGAATTGGGGAAAGCCACTGCCGCTTGTTGTCTGTCTCTGAATGTTTTCTACCTGTGTTGGTAGGTCAGCTTGCTTCACTCCAAAGCAATTTAAGTTTAATTCAAATAGAAAAAACACCAGGGAGCTACTATCTAAACCAACTTCCCCAAACTTTCACCTTTGATTTTGGGCCGATAAACACAAAAATGATAGTTGTTTGCTTCCTTGACTGCCATTATTTCTTTTGGATTTTTGTTTTTTTCCAATCCTGGTGAGGTAGGAAGCTGATACTTAAGGCAGGATATTGATACGTCTTGCTCTAAATACATCTACACTACTCCAATCTTGGCATGATTTCCCTCACCCTTTGTGATTGAAACAGTTTCAGTAATAAATATAATTGGAGTTACTTCTATTTAGTCTGTGCTACTAAATGTTATGCCAGTGCCTTAATTGGTTTTGTTAGAGCAAGCTTGAAGTCTTGGGTATAAAAAGCAATTAAAAATCTTTTGGCATTTTGTATTAATCACTGAAGCATCATAAATTTTTGATCAGTGTGTGACATACATATTTACTGAACACAAGTAGATATGATTTATGTGCATTTAAGTAGAGAATGGCCAAGAAAATGCAAATGTGTTTGAAATTATAGAGAATAGAGCAATTTTACAGTCATTACTACAGTAAGTGTTGAATCCGGTGGGAAATAAAGGCAAATTTATATATACTTCTCATAGGCCTTTCTATTTGAAATTTTCAGCTAAGAGATTTTTTTTTTAAAGATCTATTTATTTATACACACAAGAACTGGGGAACAGGCCAGAGGCACGGGAGGGTGAGAGGATTCACCAGAGACAGAGTGGGGAGCAGAACATGCAGATTGACTGAAATACACTGCTGAGGGGAGCAGCGGGCAAGACAGAAGAGGTCTGTTGCGCCATGTGGGTATCTCCCTGGCCAGCCGGGAATCAAACCCATGCTGCAGAGGCTGTGGGCAGCTTCACAGCACTGCGCTCAACCTGCTGCACCACTGGGGAGACCCATAGTTAAGAGATTTTTTATAAGTGTTTGTATTGTTTTCCAGTGACTCACTATTTTTTTTTTCTACCAAACATGTAAGAATTTGTAGAATCTATCAGTATTTTGCCACAGTACTTCAGTTGTCTTAAGTCTGTGGAAGAATAATAAAGAAACAGGGCCTTAAAAATTCTGGACTTGAACTAAAGTGCTGAAACAAAGCCTTGGTTTATTTGTAATCAAGAATCACCAAATTCATCTTTTTCAGCTATAACATCTACCTGGCCATGAAGTCAGCTATGAAAAAGATCTTCCTTTGCATCCTGACTCATATGACTTGCTCACTGGAGTGTTGTGTTTATATAACCTTGTCACTGTGATTCTAGCTCCATCTGGTCAGATCAGAGGTTGGTCACAGGAGGAAGAGCACCTGTGCATAAAATGTTATTTCTGAGCAAAGTGTCCAGGAAAAAGTTGCAAGGGAAAACCTCCAGGTAGGTTCTTTGCAGACTGACATATAATAGCATTGACTAATATTGGCAGATCATGCCTGCCCTTTCCCAGAGAAGGCTGTTCCTAATAAGAATCTTTACTTTTGATTCATTTACTTCCTACTTCCTTTATGGACAGATAACATAACTGGGTGCAAGCTTCACTTTGACACCTTGATTTTAAATAATATTGAAGGGATTTTTGTGGTTGATCCTACACCCCGGGCTTGTCAGTATATTCTCTGTGTGTTTCGAGGTGAGAGCTGGGGCTCCTAACTATGAGGTGATGATATGAGCTCTTGACTCCTCATGTCTTTCCCAAGACATTCTGATTTCTTCTTATCACTCAGAGGTGGAACCAGATAAATCATATGTCATTCTAGAAACCAGCTACAGACCTTGAAATACACCAAATTCAGGCTGGACATTGTTCTTTCTTGCCAACACTATGCTCATGGTTAAGTATTCTCCATATTTTTTTTTAAAGATTTATTTATTTATTTATACAAGCATTGGGTACAGTCAGAAGTGCAGGAGGGTGAGAGAATTCACCAGAGCCAGAGCAGGGAGCAGAACAGGCAGACTAACAAAGTACACTGCTGAGGGGAGCAGCGGGCGCGGCAGGAGAGGTCTGTGCGCCATGTGGGCCCCTCGCTGGAGGCTGGGGATCGATCTGGGGCCTCAGAGGCTGCGGGCAGCCTAGCAGCCCAGCGCTCAACCGCTGTGCCACCGGGGAGGCCCTTTTGTCCTTATTTTTAAGAAGCAGTTGACAAGAAATAGTTACCTCATTTTTCCACAGACACACTGGAAAAAGAATTAGATTTCTCCATTGCAGGGTCTCTCATTTAGAAACTACCCTGTGTTATTCAGGATCCCAGTCTTGCCATGGAGGAAACTGGCCAAACTCCATCATCTAGTCAGGCTGTGAGCTCTACTTGTCTTTTCCTTTCTCAGCTTTCTAATTATCAGCACAGACAGACCCCAGTGTGGTAAGGCTCAATAAAACCCTCACAGGCCTCAAGTGATGAGTATAAGAAGTAAAAAAAATCTCTGCCGTGGAAGCTAATTGTGTGTTTTTAATTAATTGCTCCAATTAGTCCCACTCTTTTTAGTTATGTTACTCTATAACAATGTCAGCTGGGATGCTTCTGGAAATGGAAATTGCTGTAATGGTCAGGTACTCATCAATTAAAACTCTTACCATGTGCAGTTCTTCATGTTTTCCTGGCAACCCTGGGGAGTATGGCAGGCAGCCTGGATGCAGCCTGAGCACCATGGCGTGAAAGGCATTCATCCATCCCCAACCCTGTGATTTTGACAGTGTTCGAATTTTACTATAGATATAAGTCAGTTATCTAAAATAGCACAAGTAATGATGGGTCATTTTTAAGAACGTAATCCTTCCCTTTTGTTTATTGTTATTAAGAACCTAATCCTTCCCTTTTATTTATCGTTATTTCAATTTTGATAAACATAATTTAAAAAAAGCAGTGGATGGTATGTAGTTGAGGGTTTGGAGGGAAATGACTTTAAAATTTCAGCCAAGCACTGTAGAAGCATCCTGATCACAATGATATCAATATCTGTGATTAGCATAAGTTTTGTTTATTTCTTAGGCAAAGTTTCTTTAGGATCACAAGTAAGAAATATGAGATGAGGCTAGTTTTACTTACATATCAGGGACTCATAAAACTTTTGTTCTCAAATATTCAGCCCTTTCTTCTGTGGTCTAAAATTTTATTGTATAATAAAATTTGCTTTCAAATAGAGCCAGCAGTATGACAGTGATTATATGCTTATGTAATAACTAGAATTTTTTCCACCATTGTCTAATTTTTAAACTTGTGAACTTTCACAAGATGTATAAATATATATAACTAAACAGAAATATGGCTTTACATATATATATATATACATATATTTTGAATGCTTCATCATGAAATGAATATCCAGTCAGCACCCACAGAAGTCCCTTCATGTCTCCTCCCAACCCTACCTTCATCCTCCTAAAGGGAACCACTGAAGAAATCATTCAGCTTTCATATTTGTTTTGCAAAGATGACTGCGGCTACATTCCTTCTATGATAACAATTTTCTTTTTAATCTAGTTGGATTTTAAAATTTTCTCTTTGTATTTGTATTTCAGCAGTTTAACCTAAATGAGCTTTTATTTATTTTTCCTACTGGAGGTCATAGGACTTCTTGAATCCAAATTTGCTGTTTTTCATCATTTTAGAATATTCTCTGTTGTTGCCTCTTCAACTATTGCTTTGGTCTCTTTACGGTTCCAGAAGAATGCTTGAGCTTCACATTGTTTTCCTTACCCTCTTGTCCTATTTTAAGAATACTTTCCAACTTTTTGTCTTTTTATACTTGAATTTCAATATTCCTTTCTTACATGGCTGCTGGTGCTAGTTTATTAAGTTTCCCTTCAGCTATGCATCGATTGTTCTAAACTGATTCACTGAGATTTTAATTTTGGTTATTGCTTCTTTCAATTCTAGACTTTCTTAGTTCTTAATCTGATATATTCATAAATAAATAATTTCTATTCTATGCTGAATTCACAATCAGGCTTTTTCTTTCCTTGAAAGAGTGAGTTTGGCTTTTTTCTATATTTGCTACATTTCAGTGCTATTCATGACATATAAGCTCTGGTGAGGGTCAGAGAGGTGATTCAGTGTTTCCCTGGGCAGGGTATTCACTGTGTTCTAGTGTGCTGGCAGCAAAGAAGTCAGCTATGATCTCTTCAGATTGATTCGTAGACTTTTTTTTTATTATGAAAAATGGACAATGTGTAATAAAGTAGAGGAAAAGGTATATGCGCCCACAAGAGTATATCACCCAGTTTCAACAATTATCAACATTAAGCAATCATAGTTACTTATTTTTAAAATAGAGGTAACATTGTTTTACAATGCTATATATGATTCAGAAATAATAGTGTCACACCCCTTGAGATGTGTGTGACCACACCACATGTACCACCAAGGTACCCATAGTCCTCATCTCTCTCTGTTGACCATAGTTATTTTAAAATTCACTCCTAAAAAGTTAATGTCTGGGTAGTCCATGCAGCTACTTTGATTGTCCGTTTATTCTGCTATCCCTTGTACTTATCTTATTATTTTATTGTGTTTTGGAAGCTGTGTTGAAAAATCACATCTTCGATAATTTCTGTCTGTAGGGACGTTTCTGTTTTTTTTGTTTTTTCTACATGCCTGTACTTCTTGCATCTGGCATCAACTTAATCCAATTCATGGTTAAAAATGATTCAAAGCTGAGCTAAAGTTACTGCAAGAATTAGTTTACTTTTGGTTCAAACTGTTAGGGTCCGTGGCCTAAGCTCTTACAACTACAGGACTACATTTGTGACTTTCTTCTCAGGACACAACCAAAATACTGCTCAACATTTTGAATTGGCAAATGCTGCCAGAGGGGAAATCCAAACATCATTCCTTTACTATAGTGTTAACTCTCCCATGCCGCCAAGGAGAATATATATCTGTACGGGGTTGTTCATGTTTGTGTGTGCATGTGTACGTGTGTGTGTACCTTAGCTATCCTCAGCAGGTGGTCTGGTCCAAATCTCTAGGTCTACTATTACTAGAACAAAAACCATATTCAACACATCTCTCAAACAATGTGTCATTCTGCAATCTTTTATACTAATCATTTTAAAAGGGAAAAATGAATTGTATATGATAATTCATTGCATATGGATTAACTGATTTCTGTATTTGCCAGTAAGAATTTATTTTCTGTAAATTGCATTTTCCCTCTAAGGTCCATCCCTTACTCCTTTGTTCTCTGATTTGAATCATGGTCTCTCAATCTTTGACTTCCGATGTGACCAAAAGGAGGCACTGAAGGTTGAGTCTGGCAGAGAAGTTAGGGTTTTCTGACCTCTGTCATTGCTTCTGTGTTTGTCTCTGGTAGTGAGGCTGTCTGTTGCATGGTTACGCGTCTTCCCGGGAGATTTTGGCTTTGGTCTGGGGTAACACACTGCTTCCTGTGGTCTTATCCACCTCTAAGAGCAGTAGAGACTTCCTACTGTGGCTAACTTGTAGATGCCTTATTCCACTTTCCATCTCAATCCTTATATACTGTGTAATCAACTCTGCTAAATTCCCACAATGTAATAATTCCCATTATTTTAATGACTGGGGCAATTACTTCCTCTGACTCTAGGGCTTTAGTGTAGTATGAAATATGTAATGCACTGTCCTTGTCCTCAGGGGAAGTAAGATCTTGACAAGGCTAAAAGACAGCTATACATGAAGAAATGTCAGATGACCAAGGGTTGAGGGTCAACCTTAATGATTTACACAAGAAAGCCAGAGTGACTCAAGCAAGGGAGAAATCCCTGGAATCTTCATGAACTTTTGTCAAGGTAAGGATGGCTCTAAGGGAGTGTGGCAGTATGAAATAGTAAACATTGTAGGTGGAATGTAGGATCAAAGAGTTGAGACATGAAGTTTCTGGAAAACAAAATTCCTGTTCAACCTTCATGGAAAAATAGCTTTTGAAATTATCTAGTCAAACTGATGGCATCTATGAATAACTTGGTGATTCTTGTGCATGGTTTGAATATTTTAAATCTTTGAAAAACCTTTTAAAATTGATAAGATGGTATTTTCAGTCTCATTTTGTATGTTTGGTCTTACTAGTCCATAGACTTGAGCTTCACTAGAAATTGTCCTGTCATTCACTGCAAACAAGCTCTGTCATTGCTGGTGCTACCAACAGACAACCGATTGAAACCATAGCAATAAACGATAGTCTAAAAGCCTTAGAGCAAATACATCTTTTTTCAGTGAGTAAGGTTCATTATGGGTGCATGCAAGATGCTCTTTGTAAGTCAAGATGTCACTTTAATTTTGGGTGATTTGAGGTATCTGAAATAAGTCAGAAAATGGAAAGTATAGTGTGAAACCAATGACTTGAGTGTGGACTGTTACTCTTAGCTTGTTTTTATCATATGCTCCCACCCAAGGCAGGGGGATCAGCAAGCCTCTCTGTTTGGTGTAGATTTAAGTTGTCTTCATGCAGTTTGTGGAAATAACATTGAATTTGGAGTCACATCTGAGTTAGAGGAATCTTGATCTTTTTTGGCTGTTTGATATTATGGTGAAGAAATTTCCTTCTTGAGTTTTGCCTTTTTCACCTATACATTAGGAAGAGAAAGGCAATCTCTTAGGAGATTGTTGCAATTATTTAGGTGAAAGTGCTTGGTAAACTGTCTTACAAATATAGTTGTCTCTTGCACAAACACTGTTAGCTGTCCTGCAACATCTGAACTCTTCTGGCTGGCCAGGCTTTAACCTTTGCTGGGGGAGAGGGGTCGGGGGGCACCTACTTGCATTTCCACGTGGGAACTTGTGCTCAGAACTTGGGAGACTCACATCACTTTCTTTCTGGCTTTTCTTCATTTTTTATTTTTCAATTGCCACTCCTAAAATTCTGGCACCTGGCCCATAGAATATTTGTATTCATTGTACACGTTACCCACATGACATGCTTGGCTCTGCTCCAAAGGTGGAAGTTGAAATAAGTAAATGGTCTCTTTATTTGCTTTTTAGCTAAGCTCTGTTTCCTGTCCTATCTTACATCCTGAAGTCCTCATAATATATACATGGCATGAAATGTACTCAAAATAACAAGTCATTGCAGTGTGCATTCCTCTGCAGCCCCCCTCCCCTGTGGATCTTATTAGCAGTTGATAATCTTAAAATTTCATCTCTTAAGCGGACTCCTCATCAGGTATTCCTGACCCCATTTTGTTAAGCATTTTGTTAACTCATTGTTAAATCATCTGCTAAAAATCCTCGAAGAAACAGCTTAGGGATCTCCCTGTTAGAATTTAGCTTTATGTACCCAAGTGTGGTGATAAGCCACATTATTTACTCCGGGATAGTAGTCTTTTGTTGTTTATGTTTATGTTGTCACGCAGCCACAGTAAAATATGTTTGACATGAACTGAATGCTAATTACTTTTATTATTCCAGAAGTTTCATTAGCAGCAGTCCTCCTTTGCCCCCCAATACTCTCAAACTTCCAAACATCTAAAAATGTCATCTCAGTTGTATCCCTGAAGACAAAATAAGTGCTAGCATACACATTTTCTGTTTGCTTCTCCACCTCACCCCCACCCCAGCCCTACAAAGTCATTCAACCATTCACACCCAAAATGCTGATAATCAGAAAGAACATATCATCCTGATTTCTCAAAGGGAACTCTTTCTTGTCTCGTTGAATTTAAGTCTTCTCTTAAACAGATGTGAGGCCAGTTGAAAATTTTTTTCCCTTCTTAAATTAACACACACATACACACACACCCCCAAATTGCAGTCTTTATTTTTTACTTTGTTAACCAATTTTCAATTATTAGAAGCCTGGAAAACAAATGTTAATACCAAACTTCTGAAATTAAACCTTAAAGCTGAAGTATACAATGAAACACTTGAGCAGTCAAAATAAATGAAATAACACCCTTGGATCACGCTCAAACTTTTATTTTGAGCAAAAAATGATCTCGCAGTTCACGGCAGATTAGAAGCAGTGAATCAGAAATAGAGATGTCATTGCCCTGTATCGTAGTCAGCTCAGCCTGCATGACAAAATACCAGAGTGTGTGACTTCAACAAGACATTTATTCCTCATGATTCTGGAAGCTGAGAAGTCCAGCATAAAGGTGCCAACCTATTCTCCTTTTCTAGCCTCTTCTGGCTCGCAGACAGCCACCTTCTCATGAGCACATGAGGACCGAGAAAGAGCAAGCACTTCCTGGTTGTCTTCTCTTACAAGGACACTAATACCAGCACAAGGGACCTAGGCCCTAGTACCTAAACCTGCTCACCTCCCAAAAGCTCCCATCTCCAGTTATATTTGGATCATATTCAGGGATAAGGTTTCAACATGTGAATGTTAATGGTACAAACTTAAGTCCATGCCATAGCACCATGCTAAAGTCAGATATACCAGCAGCAGGCAAAAGAGAAAATTGATCCTTGATAGGGAGGATCAGGGAAAAATTATTCTAACATTTTATTTATTTTATTTTTTGTATAAAACATTTAATTTATTTGTTTGGGTTTTTTTGGGAATTTGATGCATCATCAGTGTATTACAACTGAGCCATTAATCTTGTAGCTTCATCAACATTAACTGGTCCATTTTCATGACACTGCTGAGGAGTCAGCTGTTTCTGCAGAGGTTCAAGAGAAAGGCCTTTTGAGAAATGTAGAAGTTCCTTTTGTATATCTACAAAAGCTTTATTCACTCTATTAACTTTTTCATTATTCACAATGTTTATCTTCTTCAGATTAGTCATAACTGGTTTTGCTTTGTTTTTAGCCCTAAAGTTTTTCTGGCTGGCTATGTGAAATACATTCCTGGACTTAGGTCCTCTTAGTTTGTTCTTGGCCATTGTCAGACCTTGGGTAGCCTCGTGCGGCCGCTCAAGTTCCAGGAGATGCCATCTGCACACCCAGGATATAGGCTAACATTTTATTTTTAAGAGACATCATTGAGTTCAGGGACAGGCCACTCTGTGAGGTGTTGTTGTTTCCTGAGAGTATCATTATTATTAATATCCAGGACGATAGTCTGATTCATTAAGAAAAGGGGTGAAGTATCTTCTGTGCTCTCTATTGAAGGGGACAGGGAAGAGCGTAATCTGTTTTAGAATTATTTTTGTCAATGTGCTTAAAAAATTGGTGAGCCCGTGTGTTGCAATCAGTCATGTGAAATATTCATTTATGTGGAACAGTTTGTTTTCCAAGACCTGGTAAATCTCATGCATTCAAACACTTGATAAGTGTTTTTTAGGGTCAGTCAGTAGGATACCATTTTCAAAGAACAATTTTCTTTGAAGCTGAATTATTCAAGAGCTAACAAAATTTGGTGTTGATATTTTGGTCGTTGAAAACCATCCATCATGTTCTTCACTACCTGTCCCCAAGGTTGAAAAAAATTTATCAAAAGTGCTGCCTTGTCTGAGCATATCCATGAATGACAAGTCTTATTGCCCTGTAATTTAAAGATAATGATATAGACTGGGAGTTCAGTAAGAAAGAGGACTTGTGTTTGACCACAGTTCTTTCCTGATTTGTCTGTCCTTTTGGCCTTAGTGCCCTCTAGGTTCTTAATAGCCATGTGCTAGACTGCTGGGATCACAATAGCCAGATTTCCCCTTTAACTGCCTGTTGTACTTACCAAGCAGTCGGCATTCATCTCCACAATGAGGCTTATCTTGCCAAAAGTCTAGGATACTTAAAGTCAGTTGGCTGTGATTCCCAATAACAAGCCCTACAATAAAGATGACTTTGCCAATGGGATCAGGATAATTGACATCTCTTGGCAAAGGCTCCCACATTCTGGATGATGTTTGGAAAGGCAGAATCAAATTCTGCCTACAGTGATTCTCTCTTCATATATATTTTCATAACTGAGACACTGCTGTTTGACTTAACACAACCCTTCTTTAACTATAGTAAGCCTTTGGGGTCTGGGCTCACCCTGCTGGCGGTGTTACCAGGCTGTTTTGTGAAGGTGACACGGCAGACCTGGCGTAGGAGCCATTATGTCCTGATTTTATACTTTATGCCCAGGTGTAATCTTACTCTCAGATTCGTGTTCTTGAGTATGATGCCTCGATAGGTCCTTGAATGATGCTGTTTCATCCATCGTTATTTTGTTATACTGTTGATGAGAAAAGAAATCCTGGCTTACATTGAAAGAAATTATTCAAGGACCTGTTTTGTTATACAGTAAGTCCTCACATAATGTGGGTTTTGGATGCTGGGATCTTAAGTGAAACAATATATAATGAAAGCAGCGTCAATTAATCAATCGGTTTTGTTCACCTCAGCATAGGTCAGGATTTTTTCCTACTTGCCATCATAAGAAAATGATATTGATTGAAATGATGTTATTCAGCGATGACCTGTGATATATCATTTCACTAAAAGCAGCGGTTTCCAAGAACCTATTGAGGATGTTAAGTGAGGTCTTACTGTCCTCCCAAATCAATATGTACTGAATAACACTACCGGTACTTCATCTTGTTTCCATGTTGAACCTAATAGCAAATCCTAGTGGCTCCACCTAAAACTATCCTGATTCTACCTACTTCTTCCCACCTCCTCTAGTTACATAGACCTTTACTCTTACTTACCTAGACAATGCCATGGTCTCCTAACCAGTCTCCCTACTTCCTGTCTTGTTTATTGGTCTTTTTCAACCTAGCAGCCAGAGCGATCCCTTATCACACTCTCCTCTGCTCAAACCATTCAGCTGTTTCCAATAAGAGAACAAAATCCAAATGCTCATTCATTGGATCTGAGGTCCTATTTGATAGAATCTACTTACTTGACCTCATCTTCTACCGTCACCCCCTAGTTTACTCTGCTTCACTAACATTGGCCTCTGTATGCTTCCTGCAACACAAGGCCACTTCCTGCCTAAGGGCTTCTGCACCTGTTGTACCCTGGGTGTGGGGAGGGCTGTTCTCTCCCTGGGATGTGTGCGTGCCTCACTCCCTTGTTTCAGGTCTAAACACTGTCTTCTCATTGGAGAAACTTTCCTTGACACCCTCTCTAAATAAGAGTCTTCTGTCCCTATAGTGTTATTTCCCCATCTCTTCCTGTCCTGTTCATTTATTTACTATTTTTTTCATTCTTCTCCCCCAATGAAAATATAAGCTCCACCAGGGTTTGTTAGCAGCTAATATCTCCAGATCACGAAACAGTACCTGGCTCCAGGTATGCCCTCAGCAAATATTTGTTTTCTAGTCATTGGAATGATTCCTTATCTTATTGAATTCTCACAACACTTCTTTTAGGGGTTTGGTGCTGCATCCTGATTTTAAAATGAACTGAAAAAGCAGGCTCAGAAACTTGCTCAGAGAATGTAACTACTATCGAGGTGTGTTTTGAATTTTTTCCCCATGACGCTGCAGTGTCTACTGTATCATACTTTTAACATTATAGAGTGAAGTGGGATGCACAGCAGTGTGAGTGGGTGTGGGGGAGGTGGCATTCTAGGACTTGGCCAGTGATTTCAATGGCAGGATGCAGTCATTAGGTAAATACTGATTTTACAGCTGGTAATGAAATCTCTTAAGAAACTAAGTTGTAGCCACATAGCTATCAATCAAGACTCCTCACTGTGGAGGATATGGAATTTAGTTTCCTGTTTTTTTGGCATTCTGTTTTGGATTAATAGGTCAAAACTTGCAGATTAGTCATTGGGTTTCAGCAGTTATTACTTATTTCCACCCCAGCCTCCTCCTTGCAGATAACTGTAGCAGGAACTGGAACATATGTAGTTTGGGGTCCAGAGCCAGAAAATAGGAAATTAATCAGAATCATTCATTCAAGTATCAGAGTCAAATAACCTGTTACAGGTCCAAGACACAAACTGTTAGGCATTACATTTTCAGAAATCTCTCTTTTTTTTAAAGATTTATTTATTTTTATACAAGAGCTGGGGTACAGGCCAGAGGCGCAGGAGGGTAAGAGGATTCACCAGAGACAAAGCGGGGAGCAGCACAGACAGACAGCTGAAATACACTGCTGAGGGGAGCAATGGGCACGACAGGAGAGGTCTGCCACGCCATGTGGGAATCTCCCTGGCCAGCAATGAACCCGCGCTGCAGAGGCTGTGGACAGCTTCACAGCGCTGCACTCAACCGGCTGCACCACCAGGGAGGCCCAACTTTTCAGAAATTTCCACAGTAGTCTTATTGATGGATTCCTGGACCATCAGAGGGATGCCTGACTGGTGGTAGATAATAAGGTGATTAACCTGAAGACTATCCCATACTTGCCTCCTAGACAGGGCAAAGGCAAGGTCAGCAGCGGACAGGCTGCCCTGCAGGTGTGTGCCTGTTGAGTACACTGCCCCAGCAATGGGAAGCCAAGAGGGGTCTAGGAGAGGTGCTGCTGTATGTTTCAGGAGATTGTCTCTGTATGGACATGGACGATGCTGATGGTCTCACAGGGTGATGCTATTTAGTTTTGTTTATATGCAAATGAAATGCAAAAGACCACTAGCTCTCTGTTTTAACTTAAACAACCACAAACACAAGTCTTTTGAAACTCCAGGAAATGTGTGGTTATATGTGGATTATTAAAAAGTAAGAGCACAACAGGTTTAGCGTGAGTCAGCATATGGGGCTATTGCTTAAGCAAATGTGAATCAGGAACTTGAAAACAGCAACCTAGCGTGAGGTTCTTTTTCCTGCGTACATCATTTTACCATATTTTTGGAACACTTATTATATGCCAGGTAATGTGTCATATGTTGGCAATGTACAAAGAGAAGATCCGGCCACTTCCCAAGCGCCTCAGGATGCACTGACTTCTCTCTGGCTACTTCTAAACTCATGTCTCCCTGTTTCTTGCAGTTTCCAGGAAGGGAAATAAAAATTTTGAAACAGATGAAAAAGAAATGGATTCTTTTGGATTAGTCTGAAGGTGATTTAATTGTCAATTAGGAGAAAAATACAAAAAGCATTCCTGTAGTTCATCTCCTTCACACTTAATTGGGAGATCTATGCAACAAGAGAGAAGATATGAAGGTCAAGTAATTGTAAAGACATTAATTCAGGGAAAATATATTGTATATATTATGAATATCTTAGGGATGTATGTATACATTTACATATTTGTGTCCTCCCGAAATCGTATGTTGAAGTTCTGATTCCTTGCAGCTCAGAATGTGATTGCATTTGGAGTCAGGGCCTTTAAGTTGTAATTAACTGTGATGAGCTCACTGGGTGGGGTGCTGAGGACAAGTGACTCTATTAGAAGAGATGCTTAGGACACAGGCAGGCGCAGAGGGAAACCCATGTGAACACAAAGGGAGAAGATGGCCATCTGCAAACCAGAGAGAGCTCTCCAAAGAAAGCAGCCCTGCAAACACTCTGATCTCAGATTTCTAGCTGCCAGAACCATAAGAAAATGCATTGCTATTGTATAAGTGACTCATTCTGTGGCCCCCTGCTATGTGGCAGTCCTCGCAAAGTAATACAAACACACATATGCAGAGAAAAGACTCCAGCCCTAAAGAGTTCAGGTGCTAGATCATGCTGAGTTTACTAAACTCAATGGTAGCATGAGAAATAATCCTGACTGCTTGCTCTTAACTACATGCATGTTAAATGCTTTATGTCTCTGCTACTTCATTCATTCAATAAACCCCAAATTTCCTACTATATACCAGGCACTGAACAAAATGCAGAAAATATAAGAATATTTGGTAGGGCCAACCCTGGAGGCACAGGCAGCTGAGTGCCACGCTATGAAGCTGTCCGCAGCCTCTGCAGCACCAGTTTGATCCCGGCCAGCCAACGAGGGTCCCACATGGCGTGGCAGACCTCTCCTGTCGTGTCCATTGCTCCCCTCAGCAGTGTACTTCTTCGTCAGTCTGGCTGTAGTCTGCCTGTTCTGTTCCCCACTCT